CGCTGGCGCCTGGGCCATCAGCGCGAAGCAGAGGCGCCTCGGGTGCTCTGCGTTCCGTCGGAGGAGGTGGAGCCCCGACTATACAGTAACTTCAGACAGCGTTTGCAAAAGAAATCAAAGTTTGCTGTGCCAAGCTATGAATAAGTGATATATGGAAACTGATTATTTTAATTGGCGGTACTCTTAAATTAATCTAGCAACACAGTGGTTTTGCGATATACCAGAGGTCGTGATTATAAAGTATGACCTGAAGCTTGTGTTCAGATTTTATTGTTATAGATTGCTTGACTAAAAAAAACCTGTTAGCATGTCCATCTTCGCTCAGGCGCGTGTTACGTGCATGGCCAGAGGCGCTTCCACCGCGTGGTGCGTGGTAACGTGAGTCGCTGCGTGTATCCCTGCACCAGAAAGGGGGCCTGGCAGCAGAAGCTTGTGTTAGAGGTACCCAGTGTAATTACCTGAGTGAGGTAGGACTAGCTGATTAAAGTTTAAAGTATTATAAAGTATTACTAATAGATGTCAAGGTGTGAAGCTAAGCTTAATAAATATGTAGTTCTAGTATTTCAACTTCTGTGGATATAGGCGTGAAGTTATACAGAGTTAATCAGTTACAAACAGGGTTTTTAACCTTTTTCTTAGACAAGGAAAAATTTGTGTTAGGAAAATACACAGAAATTTTGCTGTGTCAGGTATAGTTAGAAATGTAACTAAATCTGGAGAATTCTTAATGTTGACAAAAATAACCCCGTGAGGAAAGGCAGGATAGGACGCGCAAGTACTGTACTTCAGTGAGTTAAGTTGTCAGCTCTTTATTGTGATTGGCTTAAACTCATTTATTAGGGATTATAAAATGGGAGACAAAGTTTTCTCCTAGTATAAAACTTTTAAAAAAATGTTTCAATTTAAGTATTATCTGAATAAAGTTGTAAAACTGGGGTTTATAGGTAACCTTATATAAAGGGTCAAAATAGATTACCAGGAAATAAGAATTCTGTTATTATTAAAGTAATTGTCAAATAGTTCACACTTTCTCTTTCTGCAGAGAATCTGCAAGAGGATGCTCTCAATATAACATCTGCAGAGGAGAGAGAAACTATTCCCATTTTTCCTCTTCTGACTTTTACTCCAGTATTGGGTTGGAAGACTTTTCTATAGGTGACCCTTCTGTAACAGAGGAGGATACAGATTCAGCTATCTTATATGGAACTTTGCGAGGAAGTGTTGTTGGCTTACGATACTACACGGGGATTGTAAGTGCATGATAAATTATAAAGCAGAAGAAAAAGTTGTTTTCAGCTGCAGAAAAAATAAGTTTAATTAAATTTCAAAAATTCCTAGAACTTTTGACCAAGTAGATTGTTTTTTAATAGATTTTTTTTTTCCTCTAATTTGCTGTATTCAGCATTCTTCATGGGAAGTACTTAATCTAAAACTTCTAATTCAACAATTATTTTAAGGTGGCAAGCTTTCAAATCTGGTTTAGTTATTTGGTAGCTCTGCTCACCCACATAAGGCACATGAAAGTGGCTGAAAACAAGAAATTAGATGGATCTTTGAACTGTTTGTATGGACAAAAAGGGATGTTAGTTCCCTTACAGATAGTGATAGCAGTTGAAGGTAGTTCTTGCGCTCAGGAATGCTTTTGAAATTGCTGGTGTCTGTCAGGTAGCTCTTTGGTAATGCTTTAGATATTTTAAATAAGTAGTAGGGTATTAGACTGACTGAACAGAATGCTATACCAAATGAAGCTTTTATCTTCATGGTATTTAGGTAAATGTATATTAGATATTTCTGCAAATAATTTGCAACTAAATGAATGTGTTCCAGCATTTGTTTGTTTGTTTTGCTTTGTTAGGTTCATAACAATGAAATGGTTGCACTTCAAAGGGAGCCAAATAATCCTTATGATAAAAATGCAGTGAAAGTAAATAATGTGAATGGCGACCAGGTAGGCCATATAAAAAAAGAGCTAGCGGCAGCATTGGCAGGCATTATGGACAACAAACTAGCATTAGTTGAAGGGTAAGTATGAATATTATTCTCTTGGTTCTGTGAATATAAATGATGGAAAAGTTTCTTGCTGCTGCACTAGCAAATTCTGATAACTATTTAGAAGTGTTCTCTTTTGACAGAAATGCCAGCTTTTGGTAATATGATTAAAGCGTCATGTTTTCAGACTCTTTATTCTTCTGTTGAACTACCTGCATGCGGTTCATTCTTTCCCGTATGTGATGAAATGTAGAAACACTAGTGAAAGCAAATTCCTTGAAGATTGTTGTGGAACTCTTAAATTAACTGCATGTGGTGATTTGTATAAAAGGTTGACGCAGTGTGAGTACTAACACCTATCTGGAACATTCTGTGTTTTGATGAAAATAAGCACTTAAGAGTACCTCTTGCTGAAGAAATAACAAGGTTTATTATAAAAAATTAAACAATTAAAAGATTACTGCTGTGGGGTTTTTTTTTCTTGCTTTTTGTCAGGGTTGTCCCTTATGGAGCAAAAAATGCCTTTACCATGCCTGTACAAATGAGCTTTTGGGGAAGAGAAGAAAACAAGGAAGCAGTGCTAGATCAGCTAAAAAAGCATGGATTTAAATTGGCTCCTCCTCTGAAAGGTAAGTCTTGAAGTTTTGGGTTTTCTTCCTTTTTAAAATAATCAGATTGAATTTGCCACTAGTTGGAAGAAATGTTTAAGGGCTTAATCCTCGCCAGAGTCTTGTTGTTCACAAAATGATTTCTTTAACTACTTTGGCGAAAAATTCAGAGCCAACAGCCATGATTTTTAAAATTTGTAGGAAGTATGCTTTTGTGTCTTGTCTTTTATGTTACCTGCCAGCAATTGGAGAGGCATTTGATCAACCTCAGATATATACTTGATTCCATAAGTTCATTAAAAATCCATAATGATTCCTTGCATTTCTCCAGACCTGAAAAAAGTTGGTGGGTTTTTTTTTTGTGTGTGTGTAAGAAACATGATAGACCCTTTCACAGGTTGAGGGTTTCAGGGGCAGCGCTGCTTTTTAGCAGAGTACTAAGACATGTATCCTAGTAGCGAGGTGTGAACAAATAGACGTGAAACAAATAGAAGCTTTCTGGAAGCAGTGGTGGTCAGGAGTAAGGATGCGTGCAGAAATAAACACTTGGTGAGGGATGGATCTGTTTTACATATAGCAAGATTTCAGTTTTTAGCTTACTGGTTCTGTTGCCCATTGTTAATAGAAAAAGAATCTGGAGTAAAAAAGCATTTTGCATTATCAGTCATCTTACTGTTATTGAGTCAAATTTCATGTAAAATGGCAATTTTTAAGAAACTCAGTTGCCATCTCAAAGGATCCCAACCCAGAGCTAACGGCGTGTGAGTCTTGTGAAGCTTTGCGGAAAGCCTTTGTGGCCCACTGAAAGTGAAGGATAAATTGAGGCTACAAGAGAAATGGTGAAAGATAGATACTGTCTTAGAGGCCACAGTCCGATCAGCATTGTTACTCATGAGCCAGTCAAGGTTGAGACTGGGAAGTCATCATAACCGCTGTGTTTCAAAATGCTATCTTTTTAATGGTAATTAGGTTCAGAATGTGGTTTTGGATCAAAGTGGATTGCTGGGAGAGCTGGTCCAAGTTATAGTGCTCCAGTTCATGCTGCTGTGCAGTTGACAACTGAACAGGTTTGCATTTCATACTTAAACACATGGAAGTTGGAATTTTAACAGTGGGAGCCTTAGACTTTTTTAGTAATAAAACAGTGCTTGTGATGTGGAAGTTTGTTGCTTTCCCCTCACTCCCTGAACCGCAGATTTGCTTTGAAGTCATGTTGGACTTCTGAACTTTTTAATTTTTATACTGTTAGCAGACAGTTTAGCTGTGACAGCCGTGAGTCCCATGTAATTTGGGGAGGTTTTGGTTGTTCAGGAGTTTTTTTTTACATTGTTGTGGTGGTGCGTTTTCTTTTCTCTGTCCTAATACTTTACCAGATAACAAGCATGTGAAGTTCTCAAACGAAAATAAAATCAGAAATCCAGTCTTTATTTTCGGATTTGGCCCAGGGTGATACATGAAGGACTGGAGGGTGGTTTGGTTTTGGTTTTGCTTTTTGTTTGCTCTTGCAAATTAGAGTGAAGTAGTTACTTTAGCGAGTGTTGTTGTACAAGGATGTGACTGTATTTAGCCATCCCTTCTCCAGCTCATGCTTGTACTAGCATGTGTTTGTCTTGGAAAAACAACTGAATTTTTATACAGCAGTAGCTCACAAACGTATTCCAGCAGATCATGTCGAAAGTGGTAGATCGATCTGTACTGATTACCGTGTGACAGATAATCATAGTTTTGTAGAGTCATTGATTATTTAGTGAGGTTATTTTTAATTACAGTAATTTTAATTGCATTTTTTTGTGTTCATTTATGCAGCTTAAAAGTGAATTTGACAAATTGTTTGAGGATCTGAAGGAAGATGATCAAACTTGTGAAATGGAAGCAACAGAGGTATTTCTTAAGCTAGAAACCATTTTCTATAAAAATATAAATACTTAAACATCTAGATGCATATTTAGCCTTGTTGACCCAGGAGATGCTTGAATCAGAAAAAATATCAAAAGATACAAAGGACTTTATCAAAAATGGAATGCCATCTTTAATATGTGATTAGTGCATAATGTGTATCTATACTTTCCAGGCTGTTGGCACACTCTTGCTTCCCCATCAGAAGCAGGCGTTAGCTTGGATGGTTTCACGTGAGAACAGTAATGATTTGCCACCATTTTGGGAAGAGAGAAGTAACTTATATTACAACATACTTACAAATTTTGCAGAAAAGCAGAGACCTGAAAGTGTTCTTGGAGGAATACTGGCTGATGACATGGGACTGGTAATAATACTTAACAACCTTGAATTTTTTTTTTTTTATACAGAATGTGTGTGCATGTTTCTTGATTGATTGGTCATTTGGTTTGTTTTAATCTGTGGGAAATATGTTCTTTTCTGTTATGCAGGGTAAAACGCTTACTACTATTGCATTGATTCTTACAAATTTTCAAGATGGCAAGCCTCTTCCTTTAGAAAAGATCACAAGTGATGAGTTTTACAAGGTGAGATGAAAGACAAAGATTGATTTAACAAAGTTAATATAGCAGTTAATAAAAATAAAAGCCCATGCCTAGTAACTTTCTGCATAGTGAACTTTGTATACATTTTGTAGAAGAAGTTATTCAAGTACATCGAATAAGAGAAAGAATAGGGTAGATGAGTTGAAGGTAGGTGGACTGTGTTACTTCAGAAAGTATAATTGAGCTGTAGACTGTGTTCTCTTAGGAGTGCGTGCTTAAGTATACTGCAAGGAAGAACTTACGAAGGCAGAAACATTTTCGGTGTTAATTTTTATAATTTCTTAAGTTTCTTACAAGTTTCTCCTATAGGTAAGTTGTGACTGCACAAATAGAACTGGTGTTTTTAGGGGCGTGCATACATAGTTCCAGTGTGGTTTGGAGGAAGTGCTTGAAACAACCAAAATAACAAGCAGAGGGTCTTGGTATAAAGTACATAAAAAAAATAAATCTCAGTTATATTTTTGCCAAATACTTGAAGTGAAGAGAGGAGGGGAAGCTACAGTTAGTGAACTAACACCAATTTCAAACTCTTCTTGGGTAGTGTAGTTCACGTGCATTTTGCTTTTGTTATGATACGATTTTCAAGAGGATTAAATAAACTAAATGCTAGGATTAGGTGATTTATGATGCAGTATTCCCTGACAGTATTAAGGCTGGTGGTTTGGTTTGGTTTTGCCATACTTGTCTGAATTGAACAAAATGATGCTTTATATTTGACCTCAGAATGTTAACTGGGAAGTTTTAGTGTGTGTTTTCTTTCTAGGGCAGCTCTGTAGACGGAGTTTTTCTCCCCTGCCTCTCTACAGTTTCATTTGAACTCTGTATGTGGCTACTAAAAAAAAAAAAAAGGGAAGCTTTAAGTGACTGTCTGACTTGCCACTGAGCAAGTCTTTCATGTTTCAGAGCAGGAGTTAATCACTGGTCAGATTAGTGTAATAATGTTATTGGCATTTTTTCCAGTTGCTACATTAAAGAATAAAAGTTTCCATTCCTCAATAGGAATCTGGTACTAAGAGCATGAACAGCGTTGGACGCAGACTACGTAAAGGTGACAGCAAACTATGAAAAGTCCAGTAATGTTTGCATGATAATTAATGTTATTATCTGGGCTACCCTTAGTTTGTGGTCAGTGCTAGTCTTCACAAACTCTTGACAAACTAAATATCTCAGAGAAGTATTTAAAACACACCATTGAAGATATTTCAGTTGTCATATGACAATATTAAGTGCCTTGTGAGAAAGTTGCACCCTGCTGGAAAAGCTACCACATCCAGGAAATGGATTGCGAGTTCCTTTTACTTTCATTTTTCCTTCCTTGTAGATAAAACAGAAGCACTTATGCATGTGTTAGAATCTTGTTTATTTAAACAGTAAACACTAGTAGTAAAATTGTAATTAGGTTTTGTATTAGGTAACTTTTTTAAAAAATATTTTTATGTAATGGGCAAATGACAAGTAGGTAGAAGGATTTTATAACACCAATAGTTTTCAGGTTGTACAGGGAGAATTTATAGATGTATATGAAGGATTATACTTGGTGTTAGTATGTTTTGTAACTTATCATGCTCTTGAAGATGACCGAAGAAATGTATGGGGCTTGAAGTTTTCTTGGAGTAACTTTCCCTCTCTGTCCTCCCATGTAAGGAATTTTGGTATGGATGGCCTAACTGATAGCACAAGAGAAATGAAAGGGACTGGTAAGGAGAGAACGCATTAGTATGAACTGCCTCTGGTGAAAGTTATTTTTGTCAGTACTGTGGGAGGGAGAAAATACAGACTCTCATGGGGATCAATAGGAGTGTCACCAGAAAATCAGAACCCTTACCAAGGCTGAAATGCATAGCAGCATCCAAGTTTGTTTTTTTTTCCTCCCCAGAGGATCAAGCATTTTAACAAGATAGTATTACAGCAGTGAGGGAAGAGCCTGTTGCTACTATTATTTAATCTGAAAAAGTGATGATAATGTCTTTCAAACTCTTACACCCCCCCACCCCCATGTCTTATTCTGTTGTACATTAAGTTGATACCTATTTCTTGAGTCTTTACAAGGTTTGCTGTTGTCCCAAAAGACAGATTGTTTACCCAGGGTAGGATATGCTAATGTACACGTAGAGCAGAGGTATTGTCTTTGTTGCATATTTGTGCAAATATGGGTGCTACGTGATAATTCCACAAAGCTAGCACACCGCTTAGCAGAGTCACGCTCTTATAAAAACAAAGAAATTACTCATTACATTCTGATTGGTTCATCGCATTATACGCTCATCTTAAAGATATATTCTTTTTTTAAGTATGCATGCTCGCAAGCTGGGGGGGTGCAGTCTTTCTGGTTCTAAAATGAGTCGGTGGTCGTGATCTCCCCCTGCCGCCTGTCCTAGTTGCCTTAGATTTTTGTGAACTTCATGCTGCTTCTGCAGTCGTCCAGCTTTCAGCACCTTTGGGCTGGATGTTCCCCTTTTATCAGTCTGTTAGCTCCGCTTCAAGGGGATAATTGTTAGTAAGGCATGCCTTGTTTATACAGAGTAGTCAGGCCTAAATTAAACAATGTCACTACAGCCTGAGCGTTTTTGCCCTTATATCATGGCGATGTAAGCGTTACTATGACCTAAATATTTCTGCCAGATATCATTGCCATCTTCAGGACTGTATTAAACTTTTCTAATATTAAAAAAAAAAAGTCTTTACTGAAGTTTAAATCTGGAATTCAAGCCTGAATTCACTTACCTGAGTTGTAGTAAAAATCTTTCTGCAAGTGCTGTTGCGTTCAGTTTGATAGCAACTCTGTCCTAGTGTGTTTTCTGTTTTGCGTTTGCTTCTGATATGCTATTATTGGCAGAGTGCAGAGGTGATTAAAAAAAACCAAAAAACCACAAGTCCCCCAGTGTTCCCCCACCCCCATCTGTGATATTACCACATTTTTTCTGTTAATGTTGCTGTTATTAATTTAGTTTTAGGCAATGTAGAAATCCTTAATTAGTAAGGCTTGACCCGTAGAAAAACCTTTGCCGTTTAGCATTATTTAAAACTTCCTTATGGAACTGCACTCTTACTGTTGACAGTACAATGCTTACATTTGGTTTTTCCTCTTTTCTTGAGAGTTTGTTTTTGACAACCCGCAAACTCAGTATACATTTTATGACTTTGTAAATATTTAAGATTGTTTCAAGAGTATTTTTATTTTTCATTTGTGATTGCAGTATCAGTAGTACTTGCCCCATGCAGAACGAAGGTTGTTTTAAAGGAAGTTTGTACTTGATCAAGTTATGCTGAAGTTGGTTTGATAACCAAGCTGAAGACTATGTATTTTTTTCATAAATACCAATTTTTTCTTTATGAAGACTCTAGCAGTGTGATGGAGCGTGGTGTTTCTAATGTAAAGAAGTTTGAAACAACTCGGTTGAAATACTCAAGTTGTCTTCCAAAAAGGTAGATAGCTGGAATAATCTTTTTGTTGGTGTGCTCCATAGATTTTGAGTAAAAATAAAGTGGTACTTGGTTATGATTACCCTTAGCCTAAAACATGTTCCTGCTCTCTCGTCACCTTTCAGTATACTATACTTCTACTTACATTTATCATGCGTTCTGTATCTGCTTACATTTATCATGTGTTGTGCTTTTGAATATATTAAAAAAGCATTAACACATTCTGCGTGGCTTGTGTGACTGCATGCTTGGATGTCTCCTTCAGTAGTAAAAATGTCTAATAACATCAGCGTGTGGCATGTAAAAAAGTGGCTGAAGTTAATCTTTCTTCTAGTATCCGCTGGGTTTTTAAGTGGTTAAGAAATGCTTTGGAGGCTTGTTTCTGACAGAGACAGCTTTGAGCTGAGGAAGTTGTGAAGCTTACTAATGCGTTTGAACCTCCCTGCCACACTAGCCTCTTCTTATAATTGGAATTCTTAAAATCACTTCAGTAATCTGTACTAAGTTTTATGAGCTCTGTGTTCTGTGCTTTCCCTTTTTCTAACCTTTCTAAAGAGAAAATGTTGAAGTCGCAGTGGTATCTTATTTGCGGTATCAAGTTCATTTGCTTTGTGCTCTTAAGATTTGATATGTAAATGCAAGCAGTAGTAGAGTTGTGTTTTGGGTTTTTTTTTCTTTCTTAATGATGATATCTTAGGGATAAAGCCAAGAAACCCAGATATTCGGAAAGCAGTGACTTGGGAGAGTCTGAAGAATGTCTGCTGCAACAAACAGAAAGTAAGTTGCAAAGAATTTTTTTTTTTAATTGGTTACTGTGACACCTGGTGTCTTCCTTTCTGAAACCAAACTGAAAAAGATTTCTAATTAACTGGAAAAGGAATTAACTAAATTACTTTGTGTTGGTTTGTTTGTTTTTTATTCAACCAAAACTTTAAGCAGAAAATCTTAGAAATTGCTGGATGGGAAAGCAGTATTGTAGTCTGAAGTGTTGTAGTTTGTTTCCTTAGTGGTGGTGTAACAAGCTGTGAGCAGGATCAGATGGATGGTGAAAAACAGAATTGCTAAGATTTTTAGAATTTGACGGAGACTTGCGGTCAGGGTACTAGTGTTGGAAAAAACAAACTCAAAAAATTAAGTACATCTTGCGTGGTAGATACTTGAAATGTGATCATGAAGAGGCAAGAACATGTATAATTTGTTGAACTAAGTACCGTGCATGGAAAATAATGAAGGGCTGCAGGTACTCTGGAGTAAGCAGTTAAGTTTTGGTTTAAAGTACATGGAGTGAAACCTGTGCTAATCTTTTTTTTTGTTTGGTTTTTTTTTGTTTAAATGACTGGGAAACTGCATTCCTCTAAAGATTCATAACCTGAAGTAGAAGACGCTGTATTTCTGCACACATGACTGTTTGTGTTCAGGGAGTGTCTGGACGATGCTCTTAGCCATACAGTCTGGTTTTAGGTAGTCCTGTGAGGAGCAGGGAGTTGGGCTTGATGATCCTTATGGGTCCCTTCCAACTTGAGATACTCTACATTATTGGAGAGGAGAAGTAGTTTGGTTAACAGATATTACTTAGGAAACGTGTCATAAAAATAAATGCATGCATATGCTCTGGATGGTGTACAAAATCTGTGTTTGTCTGGGTTTTTGCAGCAACTTCCTGTGTTATCCAAGAAGATACAGGCTTTGCATCTGTTCTTCTACCTTCATATACTTGTTTAAAAAGACAGACAAAGAGAAAAGGTAATGAAGGGATAAACAGACAATACTAACTTCTGAGGTTTTTGAAGCTGAAGTATTATACATAGGTGACTTAATAAATGAAGCTTATGTCTTTGTAAATTTCTCTGGTGCTGTTCAGGTGAAGAAATTTAGAAAGGACTTCAGGGAACCGTAAGTTTCTTAAACTACTTTGCTTTGAAGTGATCTGTTTTGCCATTAAATATAACTTCTGTTTTCTCAGGTACCACTAGCATTCAGTCAGTTGACAAGAGATACTCTGATGATGGCCCCAGAGCAACACTGATTGTATGTCCACTGTCTGTCCTAAGCAACTGGATTGTAAGTGCTAAGCTGTCTTAATGTGTAAATGTGATATATGTTGATTATGATGCTGTTGAAATAGTACTCTGTGTAGTCTCTCATTCTAGTAAAAGGTCATGGTTTTCCTTTTTTATGGAACAGAGTTGCTTTCACAAGGGAGGTGTATTTGATAGAAATTTAAAAACTGGAGTAATATTTTAATGAAAATGCAGTTCCAC